TGGTTAAATAAATGTAATTATATTTTAAACTTTTTTTTTTCTTTCAGGTTAACTAAGGTGTCGATTACATAATACAGTGAAAAATGTTTTTAGACCAGCAGAGAACTAGAGGGAAGGCAAGATGTTGGCATAGCTGTACAGTCAGAAACCTGCTATGCCATTGTATTGCCATCTTTCTTGTCCGCCAGCTTCAAAGTATTGCATTTTTGGAAATGAAACTAGACCTGGGTTAGTATTAGGTTAAATAAAGCATAAACTATCCATAGACACAAAACATGCTTACTATGTATATCTTCCCTAGTTCAATGTGGAAGTGGGCTGAGCAGTACTCTCATATAGAGTTCTGTAGGAATCGTAAAATAAACGTTAAATATATCAAATCTTTCAACATTGTCAGGATTATTTACTAAAGTGAGTATTTTTGAGAATTTAATTTCAAAGTTAAGGCAAACCGAGAACTTACTAATAGCAGTATTAAAACACAAAACAGATTAAAGCAGAAATATTACATCCAGCACACCCTATATATTATCAGCATTTTGAACTGCTGTCTCCAATAGACTGCATGGTTATGAATAATGCACATCTGCATAAAATAACAAAATACAAAAATACAGAATATTGCCAGACACCACAACAGAGAGCCATCTAAGCATTAAAAGGTTGGGACAATAAAAATATCATATAAAAGTAGTAAAAAAAAAAAAATTCATATAAAAGTAGTATTAAATGAATGGTACTTTAGACCAAATTATTATGAATAATAATTACAATAGTGTCCAATTGCAAATTACTTAAGTGTCCTTATCACGTCTACTTTTCAATTGTTTGCAGCACAGAAATATCAATGTTTTTACACTAAAATGGTCAAAATGTTTTGTGTATATATTTAACAAAGTACAAAAAATGAGTGTGTGTTTGTGTCTATGTATGTATGTATGTATGTATGTACATAGTTGTGCTACCCATCTGGTACCAGATGCAAGAGGAGCTACCTACCAATCAAAACTCTGTGCAGTATATTGTTGGCAACCAATTAATGAAACCACACTGAGCTCGATGATACTCCTTCCACTTCTTGTAAATAGCTTTGTACTAATTTTGATGTCTTTATTACTTTCCTTCATACTCTTCACTGAAATCTATTTATTTAACTTCCAAGTATCTATTGTTACAAGTTCAATTTACATAACTGCATTGCACATCATACCACATGGAAATAAACAAATTCTGTCTCACATACCGTCAATCATTTGTTTCTTTTCTGGGCTTATGTGAATTGCTCAATGCTTTTATTATGTATTACCATTACTCCTATGCTGTAAGCTTGTTTGAGCAGTGCTCCTTGTGTTTGTCACCTGTGTCTACTATGTGTCCTTACTGTATAACTGTAATGTCCTGCAGATTATTTTGGCACTATATAAATGAGAATAATAAAAAGAACAATATATCCCTTTGCATTTATCACACTGTGCATACCATTTTCTCCTGATTTTAATCTTGCCTTTTAGTTTTTTTTTAGGAATACTGTTCTAAGTCGTCTTTTTGCAGCATATCGCCATGGTTTTAATTTTAATTTAATAAGACCGTTTTATTTAAGAACAATTGAAAAATGATTTGGGCAACTATTTGCCAGACCTAAAGTAAGAAGGTGTAACACTTAACCTGTATTAGACATACCATGCCATCAACATTTTGATGGATTTTAATTAAGTAGACTTGAAAATTCATTTCAGGCTAAACTAAAACTAAAATACTCCCACCACTGGATAGAATATCCAGTCGCTTAGAGTATAAACTGGAGTTAAATTAAGAATGAAAAACTCATTTTGAATCATCAGCAAGGGATGCACATATATAAATGGAGACCCTGAGGTCAGTTTCAGTTTATCCCCTGACGAAGGTGCACTACCGAAGCACCGAAACGCGCGTTGGGTTTCTTTTTCTTTCTGTCACTTAACTTTCACTGGGCACTCTATTGACAAGTGCAGGCAACCAACAATCTAAGTATGGTTCTGCACATTAGCACGCTTTAATTTCTACTTTTTCACCTCCTTTACTGGTCTTGAACCTTGCTTTGTTAAGTTAAATATTTAAGGCTGATACAGTGGCAGGAAGGGCTGTAGTGGCTCAGCCTTGAATTTCAATCTGCGACCATAAGATACACTATATCTAAGTTGCACTATTTATTCAACTGTAGCAGTTTTATCTCTAGCTATGTTGAGGCATTTTGTAGCTGTGTTCTCATAAGCCCGTCTTTTTTACCTACCGTATTAGTCTATCTGTACTCTGAGACTTATAAGATAGTGTCTCTTTGTTTTTGAGACCCTCTCATTAAGCTACCGATAGTCCTTCAGATATATAGTTAGCATTAGGTCTCTTGACCAGTTCCCTAGGTACATACATATGTCTTTCTAACCCAGGGACATGACGTTTTAATCTCTACGCTCTCAGACATTGACCTCATGAGATATAATTAAAGTCTGTAGCATTATAGAGATATATTTATATAAATTTTCTGACTAGGGCATTTGGAGGTGTGCCATTAGGTGCCATTAGGCAAGATTGTTATCCATTGGATTCTGACTACTAGGATTGGGTATCTCTGTTGTACTGTCATCATTTCTTTATTTATTAAGTATTTAACATTACTATGAGTTTTTCATTCTTAATTTAATTCCGGTTTATACTCTA